GTATGTTAAAGTGAACTTGGTGAAAATGAATGGTCATCAGGGCCTACCATCTACACACTGCTGTGTCCTCCTTTTTATCCTTAGGAACTCCAGGGACCCTCAAGTTTAATTGGTCATTGTGTCCAGAGAGTAAAGAAGTCAACTCTATTCCGAACTGCATTCGTAGCATAGTACTGGCACATTGGTGGTTCACAAATTCTAAAACAAGGGCGAAACAAACCATGAAAAATAAATTTGGAGGTGTTTAATTGGTAGAGTACAAGGATAAATGAAATTTTAGAACTAATTTTTTTTTTAAAGTCTCAGGGTCAAATTGTGAGCCCTCTGATGGTGTATATGGGAAAATAGTATTTGTTTGTTTATTGACTTTTGTAATGAATGTGTTTGGACTAAACCTGCCAGAGATCTGCAGGGCTAAAAATTATACCATCTAAAGTAGCTTAATACATGAATTAACAGATTGAGATTTAGGATCAACATTAATTCACTGGGACAGTACTAGTAGAAATGATATGGGATTGCAACAGGAATAGTTTCGGAAAATAAATAGATTTATGCAATTTATAATTTAATCTGTGCTCACCTAAAATTGAAATTGAGTTGAGCATCAGTCTAGATATACAGTTATGCGTCACTTAACGTTCATGATACATTCTATGAAGTAGGGCATTATTGGATTTGGACATTGTGCAACCACCATATTATATACAGGCAGTTCCCAGGTTACAAACATCTGAATTATGCACACCCCATGGTTACGAACCAATCCCCATAAAGCCTATTATATTAAAAATTCAAGGTACATAAAATTGTTCATAATATCAAATGGCGCTACTCTGTTATGTGCATCAAAACACTATTATTATTATTACTGTATTGTTATGTTAAAGATGTTTTGGTGTATCTGGAAGTATTTCTTTAATATTTTTTATGCATAGAAAGGTGCACTATATACTGTATACTAACACAAACATTTGACTAACTGATGTTAGATACGAATCATACCTAACCATTTTGACTTATGTACAAATTTGACTTAAAAGATAGAAAAAGAACTTGTTCATAATCTGGGGGCTGCCTGTATAATCTTAAGGTACCTTGGAACTATGTGCAGTCGGACGTTGCCTGAATGGACATTTTGTGGCACATGGCTGTAATCTCAAAGAATGGTGTTTGCTACTATTTTCATGTATTTATTTTCACTCATTTTTCTTTTGTATGCAATGTATTTTTATAAATTAAAACTCACATCAGTAGAATATAATTATTTTCTATATTATAGTATTTTCTTAATATATGTTTTTGTAGCTGTATAAAATTCTCTTATAAATTAATAATTTACATATAAATAACATATATACATACTTTCTCAATCATTCTCCTACTATTTGCATCTTATGAGTTTATTACTTTATACTACTATAGATTATTCAGAATAAAGCAGTTTCGGTATCTGGCCTTCTTATCTTTGGATTATTTATCAGAAATGGAATTAGTGGATTAAAATGTATTAATATTTGGATTAAAATGTATTAATATTTGGTGTTGAGTGAAGGCAAGAAGAGATTTCAAGAGGAGAGTATTATTTTGCAAGGCACCTGCCTCAGGTGAAGGCTTTACATGGTCTCTAGGTAAATGGAGGCTTCTGTCTTCTAGAAAGAAGAAAGAGACTGGCTCTGCCAGTTTGGAAGGTTCAGAGAAATCTGGAGGTTCATGTTTTTGAGATGCAACTGTATGTACAGATATCTACTATACCCAGTCTCCTTCTCTATCAAGGCCATGGATTTTGCATATAAGGCCTGTTGAACCTGTACATTTTGCATCCTTTGCAGCTCTGTGACCCTTACTATTAAGTCTTGGGTCTGATATTTGAGAGTCTGCCCTACTGCTACAGGAAATGAGTCTTTTTAAATGCTGCCGTGGAAGTATTCTGGCTTTCACAGTATTCTCTAAGTTAGTGGTTCTCAAAGTGTAGTCTCTGGGCCAGCAGCGTCAGCATCACCTGAGACTTTGTTAAAAATTCCGGTTCTTAGCCTTACCCTAGACCTATGGAATCAGAAACTCTGGGTGTAGAGCACAGCAATCTGTGTATAAACAAGCAGTTTGAGAACCACTGCCCCCAGGTTCATAGTTGGCTAATTTAAGCACATTATTCTTTCCCCAAGGCTTCCAAGGGAGTCAACAAAAGTCAGTTAACTTGACAACAATCTAATTACCATTGCCCTGCATATCCCAATACTTCTCCTTCTACCTGTACCTCATCTCAAGCCACAGCAGGTAAGACTATCAGTAGTGGTGATGTTACAGCTGCCAAGAGTCACCACTACCCCGTTTATCTCCAACACTGGAAGGCCTGTTGCAATGTGACTGGTGGGTGATCATTGCCTGAATGCCACTTCTAGAATCAACACTCTTAATTTAGATTTCCCTGAAAGCAGAGCCTGAGATAAGGAATTGGGTGCAAATAGCTGATTTGGGAAGTGATGTCAGGAAGTATAAGTGAGAAAACAGGAAAGGTGAGACAGATAAGGAAGAAAGCCAAGATAAGGCTTCTAGCTAGCTTGTGTGTAATGGGGCCTCAATTTCCAAGTTGAATCTAACCCATAGCAACCCCATGTATGTCGGAGTAGAATTGTGCTCCATAGGGTTTTCAGTGGTTGATTTTTTGGAAGCAGATCCCCAGATCTTTCTTCTAGGCACCGCTGGGTGGACTTGAACCTCCAACCTTTTGGTTAGCAGCTGAGTACATTAACAATTTGCACTCAATTCTCCAAGGACCTCCTAAAAATCATACAGAAGTTGTTACTTGAAGTAAGAGTGGCTGGAACACATATCTACAAGTTCTTGTTCTCCGTTGTGTGATTGTTTCCCCTAGGGTCATTAAATTGCTTTCACTTCTGGACGGCACTTGTCTGTGTACCAAGAGGGCTTCCACAGTGTCAGACAAGGCTTTGGAGCAGACAATGAAAACATATACAATGTGCTTGAGGTAGGTCACTGTCAGTGTGTATGCGGTGAGTCTGAGTTCACACAAAACTGGCCATTGCAGCTCTGCTGAAATCAGAACGGGGCTGAGGAGATGAGACACACTAGCACCATGTACTTCAGAAGGTGAGATATAAACGCTGCACCCCACTTTTGCAACCAGGGATAGGGTGCACTGGCTCTCAGCATGAACTCCCCCAAATACTGTTTGCTCTGAGAAGCAGGAGGTGAGTTAAAGAAAATCACTGGAACTCTTGATATTTTCAGGAAGAAGACAAGATGAAGAAATAGAGATAAAGAGAAATCTTGTGTTTTTCAGAGTGAAAACCAGCTAGATGAAGACTTTGTCCCCCCACCCAAGAACCTTTTGCAAATAGTTTATCAAGGGAAAAATACACCTCCTCTAATGATTAGCAATAAAAAAGGAACTGGGGCAGATGAGATAGATGGATATATAGATAACATAGATAGAGATATATAGGCAACATTATTTAAAAAAGAAAACTAGGAAAGAACAATCCTAATAGAAGTTAGTTGCTATGTAGAAGATGAAAATCACGGAATCACAACCTTTTTAGAACTGATAGAGTACTTAGACATTGTCTAGTCTGGCATAATCCTTTCTCAGTGAAGGTCAGCTTGCTAATTAATGACAAAGTTGGGTCCAGAATCTATGAATCCTGAATTGCAACATATTTGACTTGTATACATTAATACTTTTCCTATTTTTCTTTATCATTTTATTGGTCAGTTTTTTTTAGTGACATTTCAAATGTGAAACATTGAATCCATAAAATGTTCAATGAGTCTACCCATAAATTCTCAATTTTCCCTCTCTTACAATCTTCATCACCTCCTTAGAGTACATTAAAAATATAGAACTACAATAGTGTATAAAATTACAGAATTACTAAACAGGGTTTCAAGATACTCTAAAAATGAAGAATATGAAATACAAAAATCAATGACCAGATTGAAGAAGACATCTAAACACAGATATGCCTCCTCTGAATATAAAGATGGTTAATTTGTAAAGGCAGGAAAGTGAGCACAATTACTTTTGAAGATCTTTTTGGAAAGAAGGTAATGTAGAGATATGATACTCCTTTTCTTTAAACATTATTATCACTCATACTCTTTGCAAAACTTTGGCTATAATTTTGTTTTGCCCTGGGAACTATCATTTAAATAGTATCATCACCATTATCATAATTATAGCTAACATACATACTATGTCCCAGGAACTCTTTTTAGTACTTCCGTTGTGTTCTCACATTTAATCCTTCCAACAAGCATAGGTAGATCCTATGATTTTTCCCATTTTCCAAACACAAAATCTAAGGAGAGACCTAAGGTAAGGAGCAAACAGATTCAATAACTTTCTTAAGATCACACAACATAAAGGTGGTTGAGGCAGAATTCATATTCAGAAATTAATAGAAAAAGTGAAAAGGAGAAATGGAAAAGAGCTAGCAAAGGAAAGAGAAGAGAAAAGGAGGAGATAAAGGGATAGGAGAGATGAAAGGGAGAGGGAGAAACATGGAAGAAAGATGTTCAGATAAATTGAGAAAAAGACACAGAGAAATAAAAGAACAAAAAGGAATAGAGAACGAGAGATAGATAATGGACATTAAGCAGTACTGTGTATCGAAAACCATGCACAATCTTTGAGATGTACAGTCTTTGAGAGCAAAGATGGAATGCATCTCACAATATTTAGCAAAGTGATTTTCATCATAAATATATATTGTATATAGCATAGAGTTCTAATCAAATACAAAATATGCAGAAGATGTGAAGAAGAGAGAAATATAATTATGGATATCAAAAATTAAAGCAGATCACTAAATCTTGTATTTTGCTTCCTCCCAAAACACAGCAGGTGCAAATCTCATCCTTAAGCAGAAAGGAATTAAGCAAGTCATAGTGCCCCACTTTCAGTCTCTGAACTGGAACTTAGGCTCTTGAGCAACTACTTTTGAACCATTCTCCAAAGAGTCATTGCCCCAGAAACTATGATCACAATTTGTAATGACAGCCACAGTAATTTCATCCTCCTGGGCTTCTCTGACAAGCCACATTTGGAGAAGATACTGTTTTGGGTCATTCTGATATTTTATTCCTTGACAATTGTAGGAAATATGGTCATAGTTCTTGTCTCCTCTAAGGATCCAAAACTCCGCATTCCTATGTATTTCTTTCTTTCCAACCTTTCCTTGCTAGATCTCTGTTTCACCAGCAGCTGTGTTCCACAGATACTGGTTAATCTCTGGGGTCCAGAGAAGACCATCAGCTACATTGGCTGTACCATTCAACTCTACGTGTTCTTATGGCTTGGGGCCACTGAATCTGTCCTCCTTCTGGTCATGGCTGTTGACCGCTTTGTGGCAGTATGTCATCCACTGCAATATACCACTATCATGCACCCAAAACTCTGCCTGCAGCTCTCCATCCTGGCATGGGGGACTGGTCTGGTCCAGTCTCTGATCCAGTCCTCTGCCACACTCCACTTACCCTTCTGCTCCCATCGGAGGGTGGATGACATTGTGTGTGAAGTCCCAGCCTTGATTCAGCTCTCCAGTACAGACACTACCCACAATGAAATTCAGATGTCCATAGCCAGTATTATTTTCCTAGTGGTGCCTTTGATCATTATCCTTTCCTCTTACGGTGCTATTGGTAAGGCTGTGCTTAAGATAAAGTCAACTGCAGGGCAGAAGAAAGCATTTGGCACCTGCACTTCTCACCTTCTTCTGGTTTTCCTCTTCTATGGTACTGTCACAGCTGTCTACCTTCAACCCAAGAATCATTATGCTCATGAACGTGGCAAGTTTCTCACTCTGTTTTACACTGTAATAACCCCTACTCTTAACCCCCTTATCTACACTTTAAGAAACAAAGAAGTAAAGGGGGCATTAATAAGATTAGGGCAGAGGACCTGGGATTCCCAGAATAACTAAGGAGGTTGACATATGTTGAGCTATTGCTTAATCTGTAAAGATAGAACAACCTCATCACAAAAAGCTGGAGATATACCTCCTAATCCTAAAGTAGGAAAGTAAGTGTTACATTTTGTTCAAGTTGAGATTTCAGTTCTATCATTGATTAGGCCCTTACTTTTTTTGTGGTGCTGGTTTAGGCACAGTATATGGTATAGGAATTAACAAATTTACTAGTCATTGTCTTAAAGAACACACAAAGATTTGAATTGGGGGAACAAAAGAAACACAAAACTTGCAAAATAAAGACCAAGTAAGATGTTCCATGCTTTTCTGTTTATTTCTCTTCACTTTGTTCTCTCCATTTTCCTCCAAATTCAACCAGTGCTTTCATGGAAAGGTCCAGTCCAACAGGTTCCTAACATTTTGAGACACAGACTTCTTAAGAAACTCATAAGTACGCCTATACTCTAATCTGAGTTACTTGCTTCTGCGTTACTTCTGCCTCCTTGCCTCAGTATGACCATTGGTGATGTGTAAATGTGCCTCGCACTACCCAGTGCAAAAGTGTCTGCCAACCAGGAGCCCACACTGCTCCCTGGTGCTTCTGGTCAAATAAGATCCTATGTCCAAATTTCTTTGACCACTGATATTCTGGGGCCACAATTATAGGAATAGACTTCTGTTTTTGTCTTCTTTCTGAGTTCCTGTTGTGTACAAAATGGCTTTCTTTTATCAGATCCAATTCTCATTCATTCGTCTTGTTAATATTTATTGATTTCCTATTACGTGCTTATTATGTACTAGATGTTGGAGATAAAATGATGGATAAGACATACAGTATCACCAACATCACGGAGCTATAGTCAACTGGTGTAGGCACATATTAAGCAAATCCTTTTAATTAATTATCTTACTGGAGAGATATTTGTTCCTCAACCCCTGCCTATGGCTGGTTACCTTCCTACCTGATGTCAAATTTTAAATACATGAGAAGGAGAAAGGTTATGGTTCTAGTAGATGACAGCAGCAAGAAGAGAAAGAGCAAAGTTCCTTAAACTTTAGAGGCAATGCAGAGGTACAAGTAAGTCTTAAGATCTGTCATGGGTATGGTCGTCTGCAGGCATCTGAGATTTGAAAACACACTAGAGTCAATCTTGCCATTATACCTAAATGGAAAATGTTATTCGCCTCTTGAGTACAAACAAAATGGAAGAAAAATTTGCTAACCAAAACAATCACCACCTGTTTAAAATCCACCATCTGTGGTGTGTGTTTGTATGTATTTGCAAGTCTGTATTTTTGTGTGTAGTTATGAAAAATGCAAGTATCTATGAAAGAAGTAGCAGTTTTAAAATCACTGCTGAGGTTGTTATGTACAACAAAAACCTCATGGGATTTGGCTCCTTGATTTGGAGGTTTAAGGTCATGGTTTCATGGGACATTCCAGTTAATTGGCCTAATAACATGTTTAGTTCTTCTGTTCTACCTCTTAGTTTGTTGCATAGCGCCTGGCGTTTTAAAAGTTTGCAAGTGGCCATCCAAGTTATCACAAATGGCCTCTATTTGCCTGGAGCAACAGAGGAAGAAGGAGAGTCAGGAATAGAAGGAGGCTATGGAGTGTGTAGCTAATTGCCTCCATGAACAACTGCTTCCTTTGTCATGAGCCCAGAAGAACTGAATGGTACCCAGCTATCATTACTGAACATTTCGATCAAAGATTCTATAGACGAATCCTTATCAAAAGAGGGAAAATGCAGAACAGAATTTCAAACTCTCATCGACTCCAGACTTCTTGGAGCCATGAAAGTTGGATGAACCCCTGAAACTATTGCCCTGAGATAATATTCAAAACTTAAACCAAAAAATCCCCTGAAGTCTTCTTAAAACCAAACAATAGTTTAGCTTAACTGGTAAAAAAATGTCATCCTTTAGCATTATGCTCTTTTAAGAACTGTCTATATGGGATAAAACTGACAACAGCAATTTGAAAGATTAGCTAGGAGCCTTAGGGGTCAGTGAGTTTATGTTAGTGGGGAAGGAACAACTCAGAAAAGGAGAGTGAGAATGGTTGAACAACTCAAAAAATATAATCAATGTCACTGATTTGTACATGAAGAAACTATTGAATTGGTGTGTTTTGCTGTGTATATTCTCAAGAACAACAAAAAATAAATAAAATTATTTAAAAATAAAAAAATATGACTATCATAAAAAATATAACACAATTCTATTTCTTTTCATGTGAACACTGGGTGAATTCAATAAGAGCAAAAAGTCCCTACTCACCAGGGAAACATTTATATGTATGGAATTTACAAGTTTTTTTTTTTTTTTAATAACAATTTGCTTAAATTTGCCTTTCTGATTCTTTTCTCCCTTACCAAGATATCCTATACCACAACAATCATGAAATCATCCAGAAATACATTCAAATGTCTTTTCCATCTGCCTTTGAATGCTAGAGTTTCTGTACTTGTTAATATCTTACATTTCAAAGCCAGATTCAAATGTCACAAACTCAGAATCCAGTTATTTCTCATCCTGGTAAAATCAATCACTCCCTCCTCAGTGAATTTTAATCTTTTATTTATGTGCTTTCCTGGATAATTTTATCAAAATTGACACATACTTATGTGCTGAAATGCCTTGCCCATAGTTTGACCTTTTGATATAGTTGTTGAATCAAGCTATAAGTAAAATGTAAAATCCTTAATGAATGAAAGGCAACTTCATTGAGTAGGAAGTTTGTGTGAGGAGTCTGTAGTTTCCAAAAGTCTTTGTTGGATCAAAGAAAGAAGATATAAATTTAAGCCTGTTGCTAAGTGTTATGGATTGAATTGTGTCCCCCAGAAATTTATGTTGAAGTCCTAACCCCACACCTATAAATATGACCCTGTTTGGAAATAGGAATTTTCTTTTGTTATGTTAATGAGGCGTGGAGAGAGAGACACATACTCAGCAAAAAGACAGACTCCGTTTGAAGACCTATTTACAAGCAAAGGAATGCCAAGGATTGCTGGAAAGACCTACAGAAGAACTCCACATGGCCAAGAGCCTGAAGTCGACTTTTAACCACTATAATAGTGAGAAAATACATTTTTGTTCTTGAAAGCCACCTATTTGTGGTTTTTTGTTTTGTTTTGTTTTTTAGTATGGTAGCACTAGGTAACTAAGACACTAAGTTTGGAAATAACTTTGCCTAAATGTTCTGTTATGCTATATTCAATATGCTCCAAATGCAGGTATTTGGTAAAGGATGATGTCCAGTGAGTTAGGGAAAAATAGATGGTGATACTGGAGCCCCCAATGACATGAATTTCAATGCCAAAAACAAATGAAAGGAAAACCTATATGAAATAAAAAAAGTAATGTCAGTTTTTACTTGTCCCAGTCTCCTGAGTCAAGTTCAGAGACTTAATTTCTAATACAATGTCTAAGGACTTGACATTTCTCTGAAAACTCTTGATTTTAAATTTTTTAAGTTGAAGTATGATCATGTACAGTGAAATTATCAGATATTACATGTACCATTCAATCAGCTTTGATGTAAGTATATCAAGACAAAATATTTCCAATACCTCAGAAAGTTCCCTTTCCCCCTTTCCAGTCACTCTCTATACTGCACACATAAAAAATTGTTATGATTTCTATTACTATAAGTTAATTTGGCCTATTCTAGAATTTCATATAAATAGAATCATACAGTATGCTTGTTTTCTGTTTGGTTTCTTTCACTTAGCATAGTATTTTTGAGATTCATCCATGTTGATGTGTACAGCAGTAGAGCGTTCCTTTTTATTGCTGAGCAGCGTAGTATTCCATTGATAAATATGCCTCAGTTAATTTATTCTTTTGATGGGCATCTGAGTTGTTTCCTGGTTTTGATATGATAAATAAAGCTGCAATGAAAATTCTTGTTTAACACTTTTTGTAGAGAAATATTTTCATATCTCTTGGATAAATATCTAGGGGTGGAATTAATGGGTCATGGGACAGATGTATCTTTAACTGTTTAAGAAACTGCAAAACAGTTTTCCAAAGTGGTTGTACCATTTTATGTTTGCACCAACAATGTAAGAGAGTTCTGATTGCTCCATATCTTCTCCCAACATTTGAGGCTGTCAATTTTTTTTTAATTTTAGTCATTCTGGTAGATGTGTAGTCATTTCCTGATGACTAATTGTGTTGACCCCTTATTGGCCATTTGGATATTTTCTTTTGTAAAGCATCTGTTAAAGTCATTTGCCTATTGTAAAAAATTGATTATTTGGTTTTTTGTTGTTGTTACTGAGTTAAGGGAGTTCATCATATATTCTGGGTAAAAGTCCTTTGGAAGATATATGTGCTGCAAATATTTTCTCCCAGTCTGTGGCTTGCCTTTTTATTGTTTCAATGGTGTTTTTTGATAAGAGGAAGTTTTAAATTATGATGAAGTCCAAGTTATTATTCTTTAATGGTTTTTGTTTTCTGTGAGTTCTCAAGGAAATCTTTGCCTACCTCAAAGTTGTGAAAATATTCTCCAATGTTTTCTTCTAGAAGTCTGATACTTTTTGGCTTTGCAGTTAGACTTATAATTCGTCTCAAATTGATTTTTGTCTCTGTTGTGAGGTAGAGGTTGAAGTTCTTTTTTTTGCATATGGATATTCAGTTGTTCCAGTGAAATTTATTGAAGATAGTTTTTATTTTCTTATTGAATTTCTTTGGTATCTTTGTAAAATCATTTGAACACATATATTTTGATCTATTTTTAGTTTATTTATGCTGTTTTGATTACTTCATCTTTATAATAAGTCTTGAAACAGGTAGGGTAGGACCTTTAATTTTATTTTTCTTTTTCAAGATTATTTTGACTATTCTTTTTTTTTTCCTTTCTAAATTTCAAAATTATTTTGTCAGTCTCTAGAAAGAAGCTTGCTGAGAGATTTGATACAGATCGCAATAAATTTATAGGTCCATTTGGGGAGAGTAGGACACTCGATTTTGAACTCAAAATATGGTTTTAATTTCCCTGAAGAATT